CCGTTAGAAGTTCCAAGTTGCTGTTGAAGGGAACCTGGCATCGGGTGCAGTTTGGGGTGTTTGGCCGGAAAGTCTATCTCTATGTGGACCATGTGATTAACATGGGCATATTGGAACATAATTTTTTGTTAAATTTGCCACGAAACAACCTTTATTTGGGTAAGAAATGTTATGGTAATGGAGAGGTATGGAACACATATTGCAGCTATGCCACTAATAGAAACTTCTGTTATCATTAACTAGGGTAAATGATGATAATTTGTTGCATCTGTTGATGCACTTTTCAAAATTATTATTTTTGTCATCACAAAAAGTGTTTTATACATATATCGAAGTTTTTGTAGCAAAAAATTGGTCTATCTAACGGCTTCATCATTTGAAAACAGTTCCATAACAAAAAAGAATATAAATAGAAAGAAAGCACTATTCAAGCATATTGTAAAGAATAATTCTTCTGTTTGAAGGTGGACTTCCAGATATGTCCCATCTGCCCACATCAGCTACTTCCAGTTTTCCTGTGCCTTTCGCGGGATGCATGAGACACATTTCGATCGATGAAACGAAGCTGCCCCTGGTCCCAAAAAATGTGAAAGATGCTAGAAACGTGATCGATTGCGACGGGACTCCTTGTGGAGGTGAAACCTGCCTCAATGGCGGCACTTGTTGGTCAGTAATTTTCTCCGGCTAGCAACCAAGAGGGAATTTCTTTCATTGTTAATTTTTTATGCGTTTGCAGGTTGGATTTGTTGTCAAGCCCGCACTGTTCTTGCTTGGAACCATATTATGGGGACAAATGCCAGTATTTCCCCAAGTGCACCAACCACAGTTGCGCAAATGGAAAATGCCAGAATTCTATCTGTTCGTGCCAGGTGGGCTTTGAAGGGGGATTCTGCGAAACGGAAATCGAGGTTCGACGCAACAAGAACAGCTTTTCAAATACATACAATTTGATTATATGCAGAATTTCCTTTAGGTAAAGACTCCATCGTTCGTGGGCAAAAGTTACCTGGCCGTTCGGAAGTTGGGGGATAAGAAGCGAGACATCAGACCGATGGAAATACGTAAACTGTACCTGAAGTTCGCCAGTGCCAGTAATCATGGTCTTTTACTGTGGACGAAGAAGGTAAGAACCATCCCGCAAGAAGCTCAAAATTACGTTTTTAGACCTCAATAGTTTAGACATTGGAAAATGTCTAGATCAATTGAAAATTGAACTTTAACTTTGCAGGACAAAAACTATCTAGGTTTGGGCCTGGAAAAGGGCTTTCTAAAGCTTGTCTACTCAATGAAGGACGTTCGAGATTCGGTGGTCAAGTTGGCCCCATATAACAGAGTAGCTGATGGTCTCTGGCACATTTTGGATCTGAGCTTTGCTCCGTTTTCGCTCACGATTGATGGAAAACGCGCCAGACTCTTTGGTAAGTTTAAACGTAACTAAAAAATATTTAGCACCAATTTTCTAAATAATCGTTTTAGAAAACCAGCAGAGCGCAATAAGCAACGCTTCACTGTCCAGTGATGGGCTATTTTTCATTGGGGGCCTTCCCAGTTATATGGACATTACGAAAGATACTGCGGGATTGTTTCGTCAAAGTTTCCAGGGCTGCATAGAAGCGTTTGGCACCAATAACGAGCCTGTTATCAAAGACTTTACGCCATTCGAGGGCGCCAATATCAGTAACTGCCATATTTTTTAAGACGAAATTTGCCAAAAACCTCAGTTGTTTAGGTGCACCTAAATTCTACTAGTCAATGGTTCACTCAATCTCACCACAAGTGTTCAACAGCGTGTTAGGAATAAAACCAATGGTTTTTACGAATCCTTCCGGATTGTTGTTGGTAAAAAACAGATTGCTCACGATTTCTAGTGTGAATAAGTAATGTTATTTGTGTCTTAGAATAAAGCTGTAGGAAACAAATCCAATTACCAATTAGTATCTAAATGAAACTAATTTGGAAATGTCGGGAAATGTTTTTGTTGATTTTTTGCCAAAAACGAACATTTTTCAGATTTATATTCGACAATTTCTACAAGGTCGAATCAAAGCTATCATTTCATCTGTATTCCGAGTGCGAAATGTATTATAAAATTGCCGAAGATGGAAGTTTACCTAGATAGGCTGTCGAGGTACCATATAGAGATACACAATCAAGACTACTATTTTTTCTTCTGGGGATGGTGATGGAGGGATACTCCCTTCTCTCAATGTTCAGAATAAACACACTGTTCACGGTCTTAAGAGATCTTAACAAGATGACTACTGAAAGTTCGGGACAACTCGACGAGTTTGGAATAGGGGACATAAGTGAACCAGAATATTCGAGTGTTGCCAAACGGCTATATAAACGAACTCCAGTAAGCTACTGGTGAAAGAGCTATTGAATCAACGTTAGATAGTAGTGCGATATTGTTGGATATAATTCGGGTTGTGTTTAATAAAGTGTGTTTACAAACAGAGCGAGTTTCTGGAATCTTTTGAACCCCTAAAATGTTAGAAGGTAAATACCTGTAATTCAATATGCTTTATAACTGCTCAACTGCTCTAATGACCCGCTCAGTCACTTCACAACAGTTCGGCCGTAAAAAGGTACGTTCGCTTTCTGTTAAAAATCTCAAAGTTAAAGGAGTGGATCAGCGTCTCAATGCGTACACTAATTACATGATTTGGACCCGTAAGTTTACACCGAACTAAGTTCGTAACTTCTAATTTCACCTCTAGTATTAGAGCTCTTTTACACGAGTATACAGTTGCCCGCTGATTGGTGGCAGACCGAAATCTCCGATGCCATTTACATTGCGGGATACTCATCGCTTGTAGCAAGATAGCAAAGTAGTAGCCGGGTTCTCATAATTAGCAAGTCCATAAACGAACAGGTCCATAAAGGCCCATAGAAAATCGGCCCCGGAAGTCGTAAAATTGCCAGAGCGACTGGAACCGCTTAGTTAATCTATGACTGGAACTCACGGCTGATCCAAATTTAGTTGCCGAAACTAATTGTGAAAAGTATCCCTGTGTGTATGGTTCCATACATACATATATGCGTATAGATAATCATTTTGCTAACACTTTTTCTTAGTGATGTTTGCTGCGGAAAATCGTTGTTTTATCAATTTTCACTCATTTAAAGTTTACCTATTTTGGGGCCATTTAATCCACTTCTTGTTCGATTTTGTATTTTTGGAAGTTTCATATCTGTGTAACTAATCATTCTGAGTTAGTGTGAGTTCCCATTTTTTTTCCTTTTCAATAAAATAATACTGTTTTCCACCATGTTATTTAACTTCCACTGACCTTGGCCATAAGGGAAAATTACCTTTCTAGCTTAGGTACTGTAATAATAACATGGTTTTGGAAAATTGTATTATTTTACTGAAAGGGAAAGAACATTCTAAGCCAAACTAACCCAAAATAATCAGTTTTAGAGAAATGAAACTACCAAAACTATAAAATCGAACAAAAAGTTGATTAAATGACTGAAATGGCCTCGGAATTGGTCAACGATTTTCCGCAGCAAACACCACTAACAGTGTTAGGAAAAGATTATCTACAAAGTAAGAGAAGTGAAAATACTCCACCGTAACCGTGACACAACTAAAAAATTATCATTATTTCTATTAGAAATCTATGTCGGTTTCAAACAAAACAATATAAAAGTAGTAACGTCTAATAAATACATGATTTTTAATTTTATTGATAAAAGGAAGTAGTCTCCATTTCAATTCAATTAGGAACATTTTTTATCTTAATTTTAATATGTTCTCATTTTCCGCAGATGGTAAGAGAAGAAAAAAGAAAAAAAATATCTGGATATCAACATTTGCTCAAGAAAAAGAAACGAGAAGATGACATAGAAAAGACCAACTCAAAAATTACCCAATTTTTGAGAAACCCGCTGTAGCTCCTACAAATCTTCCCGGCTTGAGGGTAAACGCAGTGGTCCGTCAACTGCAATGAGAGTAAATGAGAGCGTAGGTCATCAAGTCGATCCTGATTTTGTTTCGTTACCTTCATACTACAATAAACAAGCGGAAGATGGTCAGACGGAATGCGGCGCAACCGAGCAGCATAAAAAAAGAAAGGACCCCTGGAGAGGAGATTAATTCAGATAGGGTACCAGAAATAGTGGGGTTTTTACCCATTTCTAAGCATCCGGGTTTATGTGGCCTGATCCATTGTCTCCATCCCAAGTTAAAGAATTGGTTGTAAACGGTTCTGCACATGACCAAAACAGGGATCATCATTATCCAAAGGACAAAACGGGGCCAAAATTTTCCGACTTTTACTTTACACGAATTTCACCAAATAATGAAAAAGTTGCACTAGAGTGGTTATTATATTCTGCCGAAAAAAATGTTATTTATTGCTTTTGTTGTAAAATATTCAATGACTCAAGCATTGCCAAACATACAAAATTAAGTAGCCAAGCTGGATTTAATGACTGGCCTCACTTAAGCGAACGTATAAAACTCCATGAAACGAGCAAAATACATTTCTCGGAAATGCAGAATGCACTAAACAGGGAAATCAAGTACTGGTGCGAGGTTATTTCAAGAATTATTTATACTACTCAGTTTCTGGCAGAACAAAACTTGGCGTTTCGTGGTTCTAATATCAACTTATTTCGAAATAACAATGGTAATTTTTTAATGTATAGAAATGTTAGAGAAATTTGACCCCATTATGTCTGAACATTTTAATAGATGCCAAAAATAGCGAGATGGACAAAAATATATGCCGAATTATTTAGGGGATACAATTAAATTATTAGGTGATAATATCAGAAATAGTATCTTAAATGAGGTAAAAAACGCAAAGTGCTTTACTATATTACTTGCATATTCCTGGGACATACATGAGTTCCATTATGAACATTCCATGTATGTCCCAGGAATCTGTCAGAGTTAATACACTGAATGTTCTTTGAATATTCATTCATTCATTTACTGAATACTGTGTATGTTCTGGGAATGTACATGGTATGTTCAGTGAATGTACCTGTGTATGTTCAGTGAATGTATATGGTATGTTCAGGGAATATACATACATATATGTAACGAAAGAAAAACGATACTTTATTTCATCTTATTAGTTTATCCACATATTTAAGTATTTACTGTAGTAATTTTCCAACAACAAGAGTTTTTTACCACTAATCTAAAACTAATGAAATGGATAATAAATAAATTAAAATATAACTTATAACTACGGACTAAAAACCTAAATTAACATTTTCAGCATTTTTGCCGTTATCGCAATGATATGTGACTGTGAGATAAAACACAAACCTTTATCTAAAAGCACTTATTATTTTATATTCCTTACATGTTCCCGCTCTGTGGCTTTTGCCCTTTCATTTTGTTCTCGATCAATTAAAGTATTTTGCAATATGCTCTTAACAAAAATTCTATAAGCAATTACAAATTTTAATATTGGTCACAACAACAAAATGCAGTTAATAGTTTTACATTGATAGAAGAGTATTTTCGTTCATCCACAGATTATTCT